AACCCACCTGGTTCATTAATGCCCTTTAGGGAAGGAAACTGCTATCCTTACCTGGTCTGGCCTACATGTGACTCCAGGCCCACAGCAATGTGGTTGACTCTGGGCAATTAGGGATGGACAATAAATGCTGCCTAGCCAGTAACATCCTCATCCTGTTAATGAATAAGAAAAAAAAGCTGAGGATCTTCATTGTTTACACTCCACATCATGATAGTTCCAAGAGAAGTGACATTTTCAGTGAGTCTGTGGAAAGAATGAAAGAGGTGGCTCAAACCAATGTTTCAAATGTTGAGCCACATTTTCTTGGCAAACATTTGGAGAACTACATTAAACTATGAATTTCTGAAATATTGTGAATGGCTAGAGATTAAAATTAAAGCAATGCTTTTCTAAAATTCCATAGTTAAAGAACTTGGTAATGTTTTTCATTTCCAACTTTGGACACAGGGAATAAGTGGGTTGTGACTGTCTGATATTTTAGCTGTAATCTTCATAGCTAAAATAGGATTTGAATTGTGGGTCGGGTACTATGCCTCATTTTGTCATAATAGCCTCATTTTGTCATAATGACACAATCCGTAAAGAGCTACTAACAAAACTAAACAGGACACATTCTCCTTCTTCTCCATTTCCCAGTTGAACACTAGAGGGCACAACTGCCTGACCTTAGAACTGGTTAATATATGCATAGCAATTTACTGTACTAACATATAATCTGTAGCTATGAGCGAATTTCAAATTGAACTCAAATGAAGACATAGACTGAATTCCTGAATGCTGCATGCAGCTTAATTTTCAATTTTGAAAAAAGCTCGCCTCACATGTTTCGTGCCTGGAAGTTTGAAATATAAATTTTCTCTTAATTAAGTTTTTATTTAGAATGGCTGTTTAGGGAAATTAAATGTCACATATTCAGGAGCGTGTCCTGGCTGTACTTGAGACTGAAAGTGGATATAACTGTTTCTGGGTTAGAGCTGCAAATAAACTTAGCCAGCAGAGAAAGATGTAAGCTACTGCTGAAATATGTGTGTTCTTTTCTTGGGCTGTTGCAAATGTTGTAGTGCATGCAATTTTACTGATGGAGTCAGGATTTTCCAAAATTTGCTTTGACGGAAATGTTATCCTTATACTTGAGAACTTGTGAGTGAACAATAATAACCTATTCCTGTTCTATTTAACAGGGAACATGGTCAGAGCAGGGGTGGACTATCATTTGTAATATGATTATTCAATTATGGCTATACATATCCCAATTCTTCTCATGGTTGGTATTTTTTCACATCCTTTCCTTGAAAGTATCAAGACAGATGGAATATATTTGATATAGCTAACATTCCGTAAGGTGTTGGCATACAAGATTTCAGTTTTGTCTTGTGGCATTAAAGTGTTAAATAATTTGGTTACACCCACATTATACATTCTGGTCAGCATTCTGGGGACATTTGAGTAAGTGAACATATAGTTAGTAGACAGACCTGAGACTGGACAGTAAAAGAAGGGAATACAGATATTTGTAAAGCATCTTATCATGATCTCTGGGCAACTCCAAGCACTTTACAATCACTGAAGAACTTCAGAAGTGTAGTCGCTTTAGTTTTATAGGAAATAAAAACTATGGTTTTTGAATATAGCTTCCAAACTCTGGGGAGAGATTTGTTGCAATGTGAAAGCATGTAGCAACTTGTGTAGAAGAAGACACCCTGTGAAGTGACAACACAGTATGGAGCTGGAGGAACACAGCAGGCCAGGCAGCATCAGGGGAGCAGGAAAGTTGACATTTCCGGTCGGGACTGAGATTTGAACTGTCACTCTGCTGTTAGTCTCTGAAAAATGGCAGTTCACCATCAACCTCCCAGTGAGATTCAAGAAGTTGCTGTATTTGCATACAAATTGCTTTTGAAATTCATCCAAGTAAAGCAAAGCTAGTACTTAACAGTGTGAGTACCTATTTCATCAGGAGATTTATGTGCTTGCAATGACACTGAAAACCCCAGTTCAGAAAAGGTAGTCTCTATTGCTTGGAGTCATAACTATACACAAAGGAAGATGGCTGTGGTCATTGACGATCAATTATCTCAGTTCTAGGACACTGGTACAGTAGTCCAAGGCCCAAACATATTCAACTATTTCATCAGTGACCCTCCCTCATAAATTCAGATGTGGGGGCATTTATTGATGATTGTACTGTCTCCTGCATTATTTGTGACTCCTCAGATACTGAAGGAGTCCATACCAGCATTTAGAAAGATTTGGACAATATTCACATTTGTTTCTTAGAATCCCTGCAGTCTGGAAGCAGGCCATTTGGCCCATTGAGTCCACACAGACCCTCTGAAGGGCATCCAACTCAGACTCACCCACTACCCTATATTTATAATGGGTAATCCACCTAGCCTGCACATCTTTGGTCTGTGGGAGGAAACCAGAGCACCCGAAGGGGAACCACACAGACACAGAGAACATGCAAATTCCACACAGACAGTCAGCCAAGGGTTGGGAATTGAACCCAGGTGCCTAGTACTGGGAGGCAGCAGTGCTAACCACTGAGCCACCAAGCCACCCAATAAGCTGTTCTAATAAGCTGCAAGTGTCAGGCAATGACCATCTCATGAAAAGAGAACCTAATCATTTTCCTTTAACATTCAATGGCCTTATCTTTGCTGAATTCCTCAACATCAACAGAAACTGAACTGGACCAGTTACATATATAATGGCTAAAAAAGCAGGACAGATGCTGGGAATTCTGCAGAGTGTAACTCACCTCCTGGCTCACAAAGTTTGTACAACATCTACAAGGCACAAGTCAGGAGTGTGAACGGAATGCTCCTCACTTGCCTGGATATGTAAGGCTCTAAAAGCACTCAAGAAGTCAGACATCATCCAGGACAAAACAGCACTTTGAATGGTGCCACACAGCTCATCTTAAATATTCCCTCCTCCACTACTAATGCACAGTGACAGCAGTGTGTACCAAATACAAGATGCACTGCAGCAACTCATTAAGCCTTCTTTGACACTACTTTCCAAACCCATGGCCTCTACCCAGAAAGAAGACAGCAACAGATGCATGGGAACACCAACACCATCTGCAAGTTCCCCTCCAAGCCATACACTTGACTTTGAACTGCATCACCGCTCATCCAGTGGGTCAGGCTTCTGGAACTCCCTTTCCAACAGTACTGTGGTTTAAAATCCAAATTATTACCACCTTCCTGAGGGCAGTTAGGGATAGGCAACCAAATGTTGACCCTGTCAGTGACACCCAGCCTTCATGAAAGAATTTGAGGTTGTGAAATTTTGTTCCACTAGGTGGCAGATTGTTATATCCTGAGATATTTTGGATTTTTACATTAATTTTTTCTTTGTTGATTCTGATTTTTGTCTCCTGTCCTTTCTCCTTTTCCTTAAATCTGTTTGTTCCTAATCGGATTCTAATTCACTCAATTTTCTTTTCTGTCTTTGCTGTTTCTTTCTTAATCCTTTAAATTAGGTTTTGTAAGAACATCATTGTGTTGACTGATGGAACAGGCTTGAAGGAGCTGCCTACCTCCCTATATTCCTCCAGACTGTTTGATCCTGTTGTTACCAGGGACCCAGATTGTCTCTTACCTTTGTGAGCAGTTCACCCCCCAGCAACTTTTACTGCTTGGGAATGAGGAGAAAAGTTTAATCAAGGAGGACACATGGCACATCACAACCACCCCCACCCCAACTCTGGGCTGATATCTTCCAGGTGACCTGAAACCCTGTTATTTTGTAGCAGCGAATTACTGCAGATGCTGGAATCTGAACTGAAAACAAAAAATGCTGGAGATCACAGTGGGTCAAGGCAGCATCTGTGGAGAGAGAGCAAGCTAACGTTTCGAGTCTAGATGACTCTTCATCAGAGCTGCTCTGGCCCGCTGTGATCTCCAGCATTTTTTGTTTGTTTTCAACCCAATTATTTTTCTTGACCGTCTCTGCGGCGTGTTTTCCAGCATTTTCACTTGAACTAAGGGGAAGACAAGGGGAGGTGGTGGTCAACGGAATGCTTAGTTAGCGGGAGATCGCGCCTGTAAACAGTGAGGCAACACCCTGTGTTATGATCATTATTTCCTCCCGGAGGGGAAAAGTTGACTTCAGGTGGGGTTTGAATTTGCTTTTCTCATCCAAATTCGGAATTCTTGAGCTCATATTCAGCTGGCTGGAGGTGTACACTGCAGACAACTGGCGAAAACTCAGAAAACCCGGTAGGGGGTGATCGAGAGTCTCAAAGGGTTAATCTGATTTTGCTTTATTTTAAGATTTTTTGTTGATTCCTCGACAAGAGAGCGAGACCTGCAAAACATGAACAATGAGAGTTGGATGGCACATCGTGAAAGGAACTGAAGGAAAACGTGAAACAACAGAAATCCGTCGATAGGGTTAACAGGCAACAGGAGTTCAGCGAGAAATCAGGAACCCAGCAGAAAGTAGTGACGAGCACATGCCCCAAGACTCGGCGCTGCAAGCTGCGGGGAAATATTAGCGAAAGCGTAGCAGGGATAGAGTGAAACCAAGAGCAGAGAGAGAGGGAAATCAACTGCAAAGAGAGGGGAGGAAAAAGCAGAAGAGAGAAATCAACAGCAGAGAGAGAAAGAAATTTACAGCAGACAGAAAGAAATTAACAGCAGAGAGAGAGAAATCAACAGCAGACAGAGAGAGAGAACAGCAGAGAGAAAAAAATCGAGAGAGGGAAAAAATCAAGAGCAGAGAAAGATATCAACAACACAGACACAGAGAAAGCGAAACGATCAGCAGCGGCGCCCGGCGTGGTCTCCGAGCTGCGAACAAATCCTGGCGGAGGGGCTGGCCGAGCCGGAGAGCAGCGACAGGGAATGGAGCGAATCCGGCTCTCAACCCGCAGCCTGACTCAATCCGAGCATCGATCCGGAACCCCGCTACCAAACTGCTGCTGTTCCGGGCTAGACGTGGCACTCCGCTGATAGTTCCCAGAGGGAACTGGTGAAAGCTGCCGACCCAGTGGCGATCACCCGGGATCAGGAAGAAGTCTGGGATACTGCCAAAACCCAGAGAGTCGTGTGGACTGGAGCAAGGAGGGGAAGTGCAGTCCATGTGCAGACACTGCATCCAGGTAGAGTCACTATCTGCTAGATACAGCTTTGCTAACTTTACGGTGTGCACGCAGCAACTTGTAAGGTGTTGTATTTCCCCTCTAGTTTATCAGGATCTCTGAAATGATACAAACAGTCAACAGGTTTGGGGCTAGCGTTGACTTGATGGAACTTTTTTTATTCATTCACAGATGTGGGCGTCGCTGGCTGACCACCATTCATTAGCCATCCCTAAATGCCCAGAGGGCAGTTGAGAGTCAATCTCATTGCTGTGGGTCAGTCTGGGAATAAACCAGGAATAAATAATGGGTAGAAATGGCAGTGGACAGAGACACGATTAGAATGGGCATTGAATTTATGTGAAGAGTTTCAGTGTTAAAGGGTAGTGTTTTATTAAAAAAAAGACATTTGGAAAATCTTATCCTCTTTCTTCATCAGCAAAGTAGACGATGCCACAAACATATTGAAAGGTCTTATGGGAGATACCATGGTGATGAACATGACGCAAGTCTTTTCCATTTAAACAAGGGCCTAGATTTTTATATCAGTAGCAAGGGAAAGGTTTTCACTGTTTATCTCTTATGCAACTGCCCATGGAGTTTTCATGAGCTTATCAGTGGGCATATCAACTAATCTACTGGCTGTTTCACTGCAGTCCCATCTAAAGAAGATCTGCAGTGCCTGTGAACTGTGGATTTCCAATCAATCAAATTGTTTCCTCACTGCATGTGCCAGTCTAAACTAGGAATTAACAACCAGAATCTGAAGATTACCTTTAAATCATGTGCAAGAAGCATTTTTTTAAATGTAGCATTTGCAGATAGAATTAAGAATGAGATAAATGATACAAAGAGCAAGAGAATATTCTTTTTAAAATATGTAATATTACTTTCTTCTGAGGGAATCATAGAATCCCTACAGTACAGAAAGAGGCCATTCAACCCATCAAGCCTGGGGTAGCAATGGCCTAGTGGTATTATTGCTGGGCTGTTAATCCAGAGACCCAGATAACATTCTGCCACAGCAGATGGTGGAATTTGAATTCAATAAAAATATTTGGAATTAAGAATCTAATGATGACCAAGAATTCATTGTTAATTGTTGTAAAAACCCATCTGATTCACTAATGTCCTTTAGGGAAGGAAACTGCCATCCTTACCTGGCCTGGCCTACATGCGATTCTTGACCCACAGCAATGTGGTTGACTCCGAACTGCCCTCTGGGCAATTAGGGATAAGCAATAAATGCCTAGTCAGTGACATCCTCATCCCACTAATAAATAAAAAAAGACCCTGAAGAGTACCCTGCTCCGACCCATAACCTTACATTTGCCATGGCTAACCCACCTAACCTGCACAATCCTTTAATATTACACAGCAATTTAGCATGGTCAATCCACCTAACCTACACATCGCTGAAGTGTGGGAGGAAATCAGAGCACCCAGCAGAAATGGGGAAAATGTGCAAACTTCAAACAGACAGTCAGCTAAGGCTGGAATGCATCCCTGGTGCTGTGAGGCAGCAGTACTAACCAGTGAGCCACTGTACCACTAATACTGCTGCATGCTTGTAAACTTGTTTTTACCAGGGATAAAATTTGTTTAGCAAAACTGATCATTTATCACAGCAGAGAAATTCAATTAGTCCCATATGTACTAACTTCTTTCAGCTGTTTTAGTGTAAGACTGTTGGGTAATTATCTTAAATTCACACCATTACAATGATTTCATTGCCAAGTCTATCTGCTAGCACTGTAGTAATGCACTCTTAAGAGGAGCACAATATCTCCAACAGCAGCTTCTGGGTTTGTATTTTTAATTGTGCAAATGCAGACAACTAGGTTTGCTGTCACATTTACTCTATAGTAACAGCATCATTGTTATAATAAAATCCAGGCCATGGTTTGCCAAACCTCATAACATGAGGACCATGTTAAAATATTACTCTGCATTACCTTAGGATGTTTAAGATAATTTGAGAGTCTGAGTTTGTGTTTGGGGTTAAAGCTTCACTTTCAGACTTTGAGAAGTAAGCATTTAGTTAGGTTGGTTAGGAATTGCATTGGGTTTAATCTATGACTATGACATGGATTTATATTTAAAACAAAAGTATAAAGTTGATTTTTGTGATTTAGATGTGCATTTACATTTGTGTTTGTACCTCTTGATTAGTGTATTGGTTTATGTTTAGAGACATAAGCTAAGAAAATGCTATTAAAGTCCTTGTCCTGCAATTTTCTGTTTTTAACACAGGTGCAACACAATTTATAGTAGGTACACAAATTTATCATAGAATTATAGAATCCCTACAGTGTGGAAACGGGCCCTTTGGCCCAACAAGTCCACACTGACCCTCAGAGCATCCCACTCAGACCCATCCCCCTATGACCCACCTAACCTACACATCCCTGAACACTATGGGCAATTTAGCATGGCCAATCTGCACATCTTTGGACTGTGGGAGGAAACCGGAGCACCCAAAGGAACCCCACACAGACATAGGGAGAATGTGCAAACTCCACACAGGCAGATGCCCAAGGGTGGAATCAAACCCAGGTCCATGGGCACTGTGAGACACCAATACTAACCACTGAGCCACCATGCCACCCTGTATGTCATCTCACCATGTATGTGGGATTGATTTTGCATTTGTGGAACAAAGAGAAAGGTGATAACATTCTCTCCATTCTGACATTTCTCTTCTCACTGGAAACAACTCTTATCCTGTTACTTATTGTTGAATCAGACCCCTATTTAAACTTTTCTCACTTTTTATGCACGTTAAAATCCATATTCAGAGTGCTAAATAGCAGCTTACTCCAGAGATTATGGGAGCTGGTTATTCCTTGAGTTACGTTTTAAGGGAAGATTCTTTGCTTTAATATTATGCATTACAGTGCAAAGAACATTTCCTCTATCATCAGTCTGATTCTCTTCTGTGATTACAAGGACTTTGATAATTACTTTAGTCCAACAAAAACAAATACACTTCCTCTGTTTTTATAGATCAATCAGTTAGGATTCATTTCACAATAAAAGGTAACAGAATTGTGTCCATCAAACGGAGAAATGCAGAAAATCATATAATGGGTGTATACCATAATCGCTAATTACATTTGATTGGTGTGGAATTTACAAGAGAATTCGCTGAGACCATAAATGTCTACAAATGAAAGCTTAATTTTGTATACTTCAGGGTCATGGTGTAACCTTTAACAGCACATTATAATGTAGAAGAGGTGCTCCAATGCTTGTTGCATTATGAGGTTGGATCATAGAACTGATTAGGTGGAGGAATTTGTATTTGAAGTATAAGAATTTGATAGGAAATGTGAAACAGGACGTTCTCCTACTATTTTCTAATCAACCAGTTCAGAGAAGTAATTACACACTTCTGGAACAGGTGAGACCTAAACCTGGTGTCAGGGGTAGGGACACTACTGCTGTGCCACAGGAGGGCCCAGACCAATAGCCACTCCACTACAGCCCTCTGCTGTACCAGCTGAGCTATTGAAGGTGCTTTTTTTCCTGAGTCAACCTGTTCAGAAATGTTATTACACACCTCTGAAGCAGGTGGGACTTGAACATGGGCTTCCCAGTCCAGGGGTAGGGATACTACCACTGTGCCTATTGTTTTTTGTAATTGATATCTGGTTGAATTGTTTATAGGCTGACTTGCACACTCAGTTTCAATTTTGGCTTATATTTGGTGTGTAAGAAACACTTTATGAGGTGTTGGGATGTGTAATTAATTCGAACAGTTCCCTCATAATGGAATAGGGTGGGGTGTGGGTTTGATGCCTGACTAGAAACAGCGAGTCTCTCTACAAATGGGGTGAACTTATTGCATCCTGTGAGGAGAATCAGTGAAGAAATTGCATTCACTGTTTTGATTACAAATGTAACATAAATCACATCAAACCCTATTATTGAATTATTTGGCTTTTGTCCCTGCTTAGATATAAGTGTATTCACAATATTTTTGAATGAAGACAGTGATGTTCATACTGAAGGTCAGTTTAACTTTTCATGTCAATATTGAGTTGGGTTTGAATTTGGTCATCAGGATGTGAGAATGTAATATATATTTGCATCCCACTTAACTGCTGATCACGCGATTTCTTTTCCTTGCTCCCGTGTTAACTGATTTGGGAAACAATTCTGTCTCTTCAGGTGTACTCCCCTACCTTTCAAAATCTTCTTTTGGTACCTCGCCTCATTACAAATCCATCCATATTCCCTCTGTCCTTCCTCTCACCTTCATTATCCTTGAATGTGTTGATTTCTAAACCTGTACCCATTTTTCTTGCAAATTCAAATTTGAAGGATTTGGGTGATCTTACAGAAACTCTTTTATTCAAAATTATAAGTGACATCCTCTCTGATTGTGACTGCGTTTGTGGTCCACTGATGAGCAAGTTTCGATTCAACTGACTACACCATTCTCCTTCAGTGTCAGTCTTACATAGTCTTGCTGAGTGGAGTGGCATTCTTACTTAACCATTACAGCCAGAGGATAGCCTGCAATGGCTTCCCTTCTAACTCTGCTGGAATTCCATCCAGGATTTATCTTTAACTTCTTTCCTATTTCTCACCTATACACTGCTCCTTGGCAACATCTCTGAAGACATGTTGTTACATTTCACATGTGTACAATGGCCCTCAGTCCTACCAAATAACAACAGCACATAGCTTGCTTGGTATCCAGTTTGGGATGAATCGCAATTTCTTCAAATTTAAGATTAAGAAGCACTACGGCATCATTTTTAGCTCCCTCTGTTCCATCGGCACTGATTCCGTTCCCCCCTTCCTTCTACCTGACTATTGTCGGGCTGAATCAAATTGTTCATATCCTAAACATCCTATTTAGCTTTGAAATTTAATTCCAAATCCTCTCCATCACAAACACCTTCCAACTACCTAGTATTATCCATCTTTGTCCGTGCCTTAGCTTCTCTGTCCCTGTAACTTATGATGCTTCCAAAATCATCTATTGCTATGTTCTACCTTGCATCCTCTGT